TGAACATCTGTGGGGTTTGTCTTTTATTTTTTTATTTTATTATTATTATTATCATTTTTTTTTTTTGGAGTTTGTCTTTTAAAAGCACAGCTGTGGTCAGCGGCTTCCTGCCCTAGCTCTCCCTCCCCCATTTGTTGTAAGATCTGGGACATCCAGATCACCTCCTGAGGCTTAATTCCCTCCTGAGGTGAATGCAGACACATAATCTTGACTGGTGGAGGCTGAGAGGATGAAAAGAACCTACACACGAAATAGCTCCTAATCTGTAAAGTCAAACTGGGGCCCCATTTCCAGCCTGTAATTCTAATCTTTTTTGTTTGCTCTTGAGACAGGATCTCACTGTATAGACTGGCCTTGAAATCACTAGGTAACCCAGGAGGGCCTCAAACTCAAAGCAATCCTCCTGCCTCAGCTTCCAAGTGAAGGGTTCACAGTGGTTCGGACACCACGCCCGGCTTCCAATTCTAATCTTGTCTTAATTCCCCCACTAAGAGAATGCTAAACTGTACAAGCTTCAGGCCCCACCAAACCTGGATGGGCCCTGCACATTGTACAGAGGTTAATTATTAGTTTACCTGACTAAGAAGAGCTGTAGGGCCAGATGACAGGATTAAATCTTAGCTGTGTGGCCTTCACCAAGTTGCTTAACATCCCAGAGTCTGTTTTCCCATCTGAGATAACACCTCCGCGATCAACACGAAGATTTAATTTAATAATATTTCAAAGCACTTATATGTGCTTAATACATGGTATTTTCAGAATGTTCAGGGCAAATGGATCTTTGTACTGCATTAAAGGAAAAAATCTGAGTTAGATTCAAGAACGAACAGGGCTGGGGATTTAGCTCAGTAGTTCTGCTCGCTGCCCACCTGGCAAGGGCAAGGTCCTGAGTTCGATCCCGAGTACAAAAAAAAAAAAAAATCCATAGTGACCTCGAAGTTCCTAGCAAGTCTCCACCTGGCACCACCTACTACACGCCCACAGGGCTGGTGTCCTCGCCCAGCCTCCAAAAGCTGCGCGTGGACCTGGGTGGGAGGAGGGGGCTGGGCCAGGCCCTAAACCTACTGTGCCCCAAGGAGGGACTCGTTACCACCCTAGCTACCAGAAGGCAGCCTGAAGCGGAAAGGCTTCTTGCTAATTACAGCTAGCGGTGATTATCACTGCAGAATATCTCACTGGCTTTGACGGGAAGCCAGTCCCAGCTCGGATCAGGATGGGTGGGGATGGGCGGGCAGGAGAAATAAATCTCGACCGAGACAGGGAAGGGGCCGCCGCG